GCCCAGGAAGTCGTTGGACTCATCCGGGAGGTCCTGGAGGGCAAGGCGAGGCTTCTGTGGCGTGGCAGGAGCTGGACAAACTTGGGCTCGAAGCTGATCAACCAGACCCTGGTACTTCTGCATCTCGCCCGCCAGCTCGCGACGCACCGCACCGATGGACTCTGACTTGTCGGCGAGCCAGCTAGACCACTTCGTATACTGATCCAAATCATGCTGAAGCTTCTTCTCCAGCTGCTTGATGTGACGATCCACCTGGTTGGCCTGGGCCTGCAGGGGGACAGGAGGGTCACTAGCCCGTCGCTTCTCCAGCCTGAGCTGCAGGGCCACTGCAGATGCCTCGTTGCCCATCTTCCGATGGAGGCTGATGAGCTGCACCACCTCGTCGTCGGAGAGCTTGTCCTGATCACCTGCGACAGGCGGAGGGGCCCCGCCACCCTGGAGGCCGACTGGGAGGCCCTGCCAGGGCGTGCGCTGCCAGTCTCCTGCCCAGGCTCCACGGGGCTGGGGCGGGCTGGCAGCTTCGACCTCCTCCCGTTTGCCGTGGCACTGTTTGCAGAACCAGTAGTGACCGAGGGTCTTGCCGCAGCCGCAGTGCCCGCACTTCCAGTAGCCGTCAGAACCCCCGTCGCGCCATGGCGGAGTGCCAGCTGCCCAGCCAGCACGACGAGCAAGAGGCGCCATGGCGGGCGCCGAGGGATGTGAGTGATTGCGATTGCCTCTGATTCAGTCGTCTCCCGAGGGGAGACGAAACCTCAAGCGCCACGGGACGGCACAGAGGCAGGCCCAGAAAAAATTGGGCCCCAGTTGCTTGAGCAGGAGGAGGAGGAGGAGGCGGAGGAGGAGGAGGAGGAGGAGGAGTTTGTGGATGAGGAGGAGCAGGAGGGGGAGGAGGAGAAGGAGGGAGAGGAGTAGGACGAGGAGGAGACTGAGACTGAACAGGAAGAGGAGGAGGGGTGTGAGAAGAGGGAAGAAGAAGAGGGCGAGCAGAAAAAGATGGAGAGGAGGAGGAGGAGGAGGAGGAGGAGGTCGAACAGAACAGGCAAGAGAGGGAGGAGGAGCAGGAGGAGGAGGAGGAGGAAGAGGAGTAAGCGGATGAGAAGGAGAAGGAGGAGGAGGAGGAGGAGGAGGAGGAGGAGGACGGGAAGAGGAGGAGGAGGACGAGGAAAAGGAGGAGGAGGAGGAAAAGGGCGAACACAAGGGCCGGAAGCCTCTAGAATGCCTCTCGGAATCTTCTCGGATGTCGCTTGGACAACTTTAAGAGGCCTCTTGGGGCGTTTTGGGGGGCATCTTGGCGGGCCCAGCGCAGTCTTTAGTGTCTTGGGTGCTTCGGGGATCCTCTTGAGGCCTCTTTGGGGTCTCTTGGGGGCCTCTTGGAGGCCCCTTGGGCGCCGCTTGGGCCCGTCTGGGCGCCTCTTCGGGTCCTCTTGGGGGCGCTGTTGGGGCCATCTTGGCAGATGTCGATCAAACAAGAGCGGGAGCTTTAATTAGCCTTGTTCTTCTAGAGTGCCTAAAATCGATCGCTTCTTGGGGCGCTCTTGGAGCGCTCTTGGGCGCTCTTGTGGCCGTCTTGTGGTTCTCTTGGGCCTCTCTTGGGGCCATCTTAGAGCCATCTTCAGGCTTCGGACGGCCATGGTAAGCGAAAAGGCGAGAAAAAGCAGAACGTATTGATTTCCTTTAGGTTTTTGGAGATAATTGTTTGGTATCTTTGGGGTCTCCTTGGGGAGCTCTTTGGCCACTTGGAGCCGTCTTGGGGTGGTCTTGGGGCCCCTTGAAGCATTTTGGAAGTCATCTTGAGTGATCTTGTGCTGGCCTGAATCGTCTTGGAAGCATCTTGGGCTCTCTGAGGCGCTTTTGGAGCCGTCTTGGCCCATGTTGGACGCTCTGACCCTTCGCGACCACCTCCGTCCAGGTCCAGGGGGGGGGTAAGGGGGAGGAGTGAACCCGTGCCCGAATGGGAAGACGGGGGTTGGAAGAGGAGCCGCCCAACTACGCCCAGAGGGCTGGTGGGATTCGGGTCCGTGGAGGCTCGGGCCCGGTCAGGTATCCTAAATCCTCTGGGCCTCACCTCCGGCGCACGAAGGCGAGATTACCGTGCGTCCTGATTGACGACGTCGCACGCGCTGGAAGGGAATGACGCTCGTGGCTGCCGCTTGGAATCGCCGTGGCTGAACAAGGGCGCCCTCGAGGGTGCGAAGTTATTCGCGCTTCGCGGTTCGACTCCGATCCCTCCTCGTCCTCATCTTCTCCACAGGGGGGGGGCGCGAGAGCGCGTAGTTTTTCGCACTCTGCGCAACGCGATCCGGAGGCTATCATATTCCGATCACTTGGCATCGCTCGGACATGCTCTTTCTCGGCGGCGACCATCGAGGAGCATCTTGGGTCATCTCGCGAAACAATACACGCACTAAACCGAAACATGCACGGGGAAAAGACGTCTGAACGATGGCAAAATCAGATCCCACACGCAATCCCATTGCTATCAGATCCCCAGCATAGTTCAACCATCGTATCCTTACCATATATTTAACAGAAGCCTATCGGGTCCTGTGGCTACTTTCAGCAATCCCAAGCGCTGCGCCTGGGCTATCCCCCATCCGATGCCTGACGCTATGCTAATGCTAGCTGTCCACGCTGATTCCTTCGCATTCCCAGACGGCGCCGGCATCGTCGCAGCATCACTAGTAGCACCGTCTCAGCATCGCGGCAGCAGAGACGCAGTACTGGTGCGCACCAGCATACGTGGGTCTGCGCAAAGCGAAAGTCTGAGGTTGTCGGCGAGCACCTCTCCCCAGATAACCTGGGCCATCGCCGAAGCGTTCAAAGCCGCTCCCATCGGAAACAACCACCGCCATGCCGATTTCGACACTGGTCGCAGAGTGCTGGGTGGTTGGAATGCTCAGCTCTTGAGCGTCACAGGTTGAAGCTCGCTGAGGGGCAGCGAACGCGATCTGTGTTTCTGGGGCGACGGGGGAGAGGGCACTGCTTTTGTAGGGCAAGAGCAAGCATGAGCAGCCCAATCGTCGGCAAGAGCAAACCTGAAATCAGAGCTTCTCGCGAAGGGCGGCTGTAAGGATTGCTGTTGACCGATCAGGCGCGCCCGCCGAGCGTACGGGGATCTGGCCCTGGAAACAACGCTGCCCCCCCAGCGACCTTCAAGTCACAGGTGCGTTCTGCGCCTTGGGGGCGCCTCGGGGCCATCCTCGGGGCATTGTCGCGGGGAGTAGGGCGCCCTTTGGCCCCGCGGCCGTCCGCGGGCTCGAAGAACAGCCCAAGATCTCCCACTTCAGGAGGAAAAGAAGCACACAGACACAATTAATCCGCGACTCCCCCGAACATATATATATATATATATATATATATGGGAAGTGGGGGGAAGACAGAAGCCCAGAAAATATTGGAAGATATTGAGAATCCTGTTATTTGTGTGTATTTATTTGTGTGTCCTGGGGCCCCTTGACCACTGGGTGAAGGAGGAGAGAACTCCCAGGATGGAAGACGAGAGGGTCAGGGACGCGCAGAGGGGAATGGTTGGAGGGTGAGGGCTTCTTAGAGGCACCCCTGCTTCTTAGAAGGCGCGGGCCTCGTCTGTAGATGTAGAGCCTTCCCCCCTCCCCCTACTCCCCCTGCGCGCCGCCACGAGGAGGTCTGGGAACGGACGGAAGAACCCCAGAATGGGGGAAGAGAGCTCCAGGATGGAAAAGTAGAGAAGGGATACCTACTTCCAGGGTGCTGGAGGAGAAGGTACGGAATCCCAACGAGCTTGATATCGACGATGCCTACGGCGTATCACCCGCCGCCACCTCTCTTTTTGGAAGCGCCTATGTGGCCGAACGTTGTGTCTATGGCTCGGCCAATATGTCGGACTATTTGTTCCCCCAGCCGTTGTGGAAACCCTTCGGGGAATATGCGGGGGAGAAAGAGGACGACGAAAAAGAAGAAGAAGAGGAAGAGGAAGAAGGAGAGGAGAAGGAAACAGGAGGAGGAGGAGTAGGAGGCGGAGGAGGATGCTTCTCGGGAGCCTATTGGGGCACTCTCGGGGTTTTCCAGGGAGCTTTCTGGGCTCCTCTTGGAGGCCTCGTGGAGGCCTCCTCGGGCATCAGGGGAGCATTTGGAAGCTTCTCGGGGGCCTCTGTGACCGTCGTAGGGCGTTCCTGGCACGCCAGACGCAGTCGGAAACCGTCTTGTGGGCCTCTCTGGACCGTCTTTGGGCCTTCTCAGGGCGCGCCAGGGCCGTCTTGGAGGCCATTTTGGGCATCTTGGAGGCCTCTTGGACCCTCTGGGAGGCCTCTCGGGCGCTCCTGTGGCGATCCTGAGGGCCTCTTGGGCCGTCGGGCGGCCCAATTCCTTCAACCACGTACGCCGTCGCCATGTTGGCTCAAGCCATTTTGGCCCAAGAGAAGGCAGGCACCGGCACCAAGCCCAACCACAGCACGTACCACCCCCACCGCTCATCCATGCACGATCTTGCACAACCTCTTCTTGGATCGCGCGGCACAATTTGCTTGAGACCTTTGCCAGAAGCATCGTTGGATCCAATTACAGCTTGGTGTGCCTCAGCAGAAGGTGATGCGATATGCCGAGTCTGTCACCTGCAGAAGGGGGAGGCTCTTTTGAGTCCTTGTTCGTGCTCTGGATCCATTCGGTATATTTGCTGCAGTTGCTTGGATACATGGCGCATCAAGAATGCAGATCGAGCTTTCAGTTGCGAGTTGTGCGGAGTAGCGTTCCTGTACAAATGTGAACAGAGGGGATGGCAACATCAATGTCATTCCGCGATTCGCTACTCTGCAAGAGCATTCGCATTTCTGTCATTGTTCAGTGGTTGTTGGTTTTGGAAGTTTATAGGATTTAATGTGCCTGGGCCAGTGTTGGCGTTGCTAGGAATCGCCATGCTTGCTGACGCTATGCGCGAATTGCATTCATCTTGCATTACGACGTGTGCTCCAGGATCGTTGGGCTACAGTATACGTCGGATCCTCACTAATCATAACGTTGTCGCCATGGACATATGGGAAATACATAAGGCAGAATGGACGCGGGGTGCTATAGTTCCCCTTGAACTGCCATCATCAGATACAAACACCTCAATTTGCGACTGCAAGATTGTCGTGCAGGTTCTTGCGGCCTACTTGTTCACACTGTTCATTGTGATCTACATGTGTTGTATTGAGCTGATTGCTCCGTACTTCGAGACTGAAGCTGGACAGCAGCTTGTTAGAGAGATGCGCAAGGTATTGCTGTTGCTCGGTCTTGGTTACTGCCTTGCTACACTGACCATTCACACGATAAGCGTGAGTCTAGTTCCACTTGTGCAGCTTTGTCGTGCCAGCAGCGGAACTCCTATTGTCAGGAGTTTGCATCCCACTGAAAGGTTGCCTAATGTTCAAAGTATGCGAGTTCGCTTGTCAGCATACCAGTAACTAACTTTTTACAACGCCTTGTCGGCATGTTTTTCAGTCTGTGCATGTTGTTCAGACGTGCATGCTTGCCGTTTCCGGAATGCTGTAGAGGTTCCCTCCTCCGCTTGCCGTCGCCAAGTCCAGCATGCTCCTCACATATATTGCTAGTAGTACCCTACCTTACTTACCCTATTATATTCGACCTGTGAGGACTGTCACGCTGGCGCCACTGCTTCGCAAACCAAACATTTACGGTGCATGCTAGTTTTCGGTATCAGCAGGTACTTCTTTGTTTCAATTAAGCGAGCACGTGTGCATAGTTTACCGATCTTATCCAGGCTTCGGGCTTCCGCAGGGCCGCGCTCATGTGCATTCTCTCTTCGAAGTACAGCGCAGCGAGAGAATCAAGACAGGAAGGCTTGTGTGTACATACGGCTGAATCTTGAGAAGAAGCAAGAGAGTAGATCGCGGCTTCAGAACAACATATCATCCCTCGAAACATACGACAATCAATGATTGTGGCCTCCTTGGGCCCTTCTGGAGGACCTCTTGGAGGCCTGTCGAGCCGTCTTCAAGGCCTCCTGGGGGACTCCTGGGCCGTCTTGGGCCGTCAGTGAGGCTTCTTGGGCGAATTCGGAGCAGTCTCGGACTCTCTTGGGCCGTCTGAGAGGCCATCTGGGATCAGCTTTGGCCAAGTTGAGGGCCATCTTGAAGCCATCTGGAGAAGGACAAATCTTTGCAGCCACCTCGAACGCAGCCTTCTGGGTGGCCGGCGGCATCGGCGGAAGCCCCAGGGGGAGCTCTAAACGAACCCTTCCAAACATACAGCACGCCAGGTACCCTTGTGGCAAGACCACAGGGGGCGGCGGATCGCAGACGCCTACAGCGAATCACCGCCGCCTCCTGCCTTTTTGGAAGCGCCTATGTGGCCGAACGTTGAGGCCAGACCTGCCAAGCTATCGGATCATGTGTTCCCCGAATCGGTTTGGAAAGACTTCGGGGAACACATGGGCATCTTGAAGGTCATCTGAATCGTCCGGAGGCCATTTTGACCCTTTCGGGCCTTCTTGAAGGACGTCTTGGAGGGCTCTTGGGCCGTCTTGGAGGCCATCTTGAGCGTTTTGGAGGCCTCTTGGGCCGTCTTGGGGGCCTCTTGGGGCCGTCTTGGGCGATCTTTGGGGACACTTGGGCAGTCTCGGACCGTCGGAAGGCCGAACAAAAAGCAAATGCCACAATCTTTGAGCAACTCAAAGGAAACCAATGCTTTTGGCCTTTTCGGGCCTTCCTGGAGGCCCTCTTTGAGGCCTCTTGGGCCATCTTAAGGCCATCGTCGGCCGTCTTGTGGGCTCATGGCCCGTCTGACGCCGTCGGAAGCCGTTTGGGGGGTCTCTTTGGGCAGATTTCGGCCCTCTTGGAATGCTCCAGGGCCGTCTTGGAGGCCATCTTGGGCGTCTTAAAGGCATCTTGGGCCGTCTTGGGGGCCTCTTGGGCCGTTCTGGGGCCATCTTGGAGGCCTCTTGGGCGATCTTTGGGCGATCTTTGGGGGCTCTTGGGCCGTCTCGGGCCGTCGGAAGGCCGAAAAGAAGAAAAGGTCAAAATCCTTGGAAACCCAAAGGGAAATACATGTTTTTTGCCATGTCTGGCCTTCCTGGAGGCCTCTTGGAGGCCTCTTGGACCGTCTTGGGCCAGCTTAGAGCCAACTTCGGCCATCTTGGTGGGTTCCTGGCACGTCTGACGCCGTCGGGAGCCGTCTTGGGGGCCTCTCTGGGCCGACTTGGGGCCTTTTGGGGCGCTTCGGGGCCGTCTTAGAGGTCATCTTGGGCGTCTTGGAGGCCTCTTGGACCGTCTTGGGTCGTCTTGGGGGCCTCTTGGGCCGTCATGGGGCCATCCTGGATGCCTCTGGGACGATGTTGCGCCGATCTTGTGGACCTCTTGGGCCGTCTTGGGCCGTCGGAAAGCCGAAGAGGCGCACATCCCAAAATCCTTAAAACGACCTCAGGAAAATCAATGATTTTGGCCTCTTCGGGCCTTCCTGGAGGACCTCTTCGACGCCTCGTGGGCGTTCTTGGAGAGCTTTTGGGCCGTCTGGGGCCATCTTGAGGCTATGTTAGGCCGTCTTGGATGAATCTTGACTCGTCTGGGAGGCATCTTGGAGCCATCTTCGCCGTCTTGGAGGCCATCTTGACCGTCTTGGATGCACCTTGGAGACCGTCTTGGGCCGTCTTGGAGCCGCCTGGGGCAGCGAACACCTTTGCAACCAGGTTTTGAAATCCTTCCCGGGACCACGGCGGGACGCGCCAGAGTCCCAGGGGGAGTTCTTTGGGAAAAACAACCAAAACCAAAACCGAGAGGGTCCAGCACGCCAGGCGCCCCTGCGATGAATCGACAGGGGGCGGCGTATCTGACGGCCTTCGGCCCATCCCACCACCGTGCTTGGATTGTGGGTATGAAGCCTATTGTATGTTTGTTGGGATCTCGTGGGACGCTTCTTGGAGGCTGTTTGGAGGCCTCTTGAGGGCAGTTTCTGGGCCTCTAGGGGTATCTTTTCGGCTTCTTGGGGGTCTCTTGGGGCCTCTTGGGGGCCTGTAGGGGGCCTCCTGGGCGCCTCCTGGGCGCCTCTTGGTGCCTCCTGGGGGCTTCTTGGGGCGGAAGGCTCGGATTTTCTGTTCGCGTTCCCTCTCTTGGGCCTTTTTGGGGGGCCGTCTAGGGGCCCTCTTGGGTCGTCATGGGCGTCTCTGGGTGAGTCTTGGGGCTCTCTTGGGCCGTTTGGGGGCTCTCTTGGAGGCCTCTTGGGCCGGCTTGGGGCGGTCTTGGCGGCCTCTAGGGCCAGCTGGGAGAGTCGGCAAGCCGAAAAGGCGAGAAAATCCAAAGCCTATCAAACATTTGCGGAAATCCGTGATTTGACATCTTGGGCCCTCTCGGGAGGCCTCTTGGAGGCCTCCTTCGGCGTCTTGGAGGCATATTCGGCCTTCTAGAGGCCATCTTGAGCGTCTCGGAGCGATCGATCGGCGTCTCGGGGCCCTCTCGTACCGTCTTGGGAGCTTCTTGGGGGCTTCCTGGGGCCATCTTGGCCCGTCTTGGGGCCCTCCTGGGCCCGAACAATCCACGAGGGAACACTTCCTGGAGCCCAGGGGACACGCGGGAAGCCCTGTTAGATGTATGAAGATTGGGTTCCGGGCCCCTTAAACACTCCTCAGCACTGAGGACTGAGGCTCCAGGCAGTAGGCAAAGGACCTGAGGACACGCACATTCCGTGCCCAGAGGCACGGTGGCGGATCACTGAAGGACATCGTTGGTTTTAACATCTTGGGCCGCATTTGGGGGTCCATTTGGAGCATTTTCGGGGCGTCTCGGGGCCTTTTGGGCCGTTCAAAGACCACTTTGGGCGTCTTTTGGCGCGCTCTTGGGCTGTCTCGAGGCCTCTTGGCCTGCCTTGTGGCACGCTTGTAATCGTTTTGACTCCCCCAGAGTTCGCTTGGCGCCCGCAGACGCATCTTTGGAACGCCCAAGATTTTGTTGCACACGGGGCTGCGGGGCCACACAGAGTCCTACAAGCCGCAATAAGACGAAAGCCCATCTACAGCGGCCCTTCTAGGACGCACAAAGTATAAGAAGTGGGACACTCCATTGTGTGCTGAAGTCACGGTTGCGGATGCACATGTTGTTGTTCACACCAATGGGAGGTCGCAGCAATTCGCATGGCTCCGCAGACGTAGGATGCAAGTCCTGGGAGGTAAAGTTCAGCATTAGCACTGGTAGATCCGTGGTCGAAACACTGGGGCACAGTCCAGCTTACTCCAGCACAATACTCCCAGCTGGTTCGGCGCAATCCCGTTCAGTCGGGCTCAGTAGTCCTTTATCGTTCTTGCCAAAATTCCCAGTAGTTGCCTCCTGGCACGTTTTTTCACAGCCGAGGTCGCAGCGATTCGCATGGCTCCGCAGACGTGGCGGCCCTCCCCAGACGTCCACAGGCGGCGGCTACGTGACCTCCGCCCTGGCGTCTCACATCATCGAGAAGGAGCTGCAGCAGGGGAGGCCTCCCTTCTCCCTGCCTCCATCACTCCTCCCTCCCTCCCTCCGTCACTGCTCTTTCCTCCTCCCTCCCTCCTCCCTCTCAAGCACATGTGGCTCGAGGCTTCTCCGTACCCATTTGGGCTCTGGGCAGTTTCGAAGTCACGTCCCGCGCCGTCACGGGGCGCTCGAGGGACGCCCAGGCTGCTGCGCGTCGAGTGCAGATTTTCTGTGCGACGAAGTGGGACACATAGCACGGGTAGCGACGGCTGGCTTGTCGTTGCGGGATGCTCTGTGTGGTGTCGGTCGCCATCTTGGTGGTGGTCGCTTTGCAGAAGCAGCTCAGCATAGTCGCCCTTGCATGCTCAACCATTCTCTTCGGGTCACGCCTTCGACCTGGGCATAGTCCGCTCCGACGTCCTGGTCGTGTTGTTCTCTTCTGCGCGGCCCGTTGGCACGTTTCCCGCTTGATTGTCGCAATGAGCCCGTGTCGCGTTCTCAGGTTCGGTGCCGCATTGGGCCAGTGAGGGCTGGGCAGTGGCCGCGGGCGTTGGCCGCGGCGTCATGGCAGTGGCAGCTGGTGCAGTCACCGACGAAGTCCGTACGGGAGGCCAAATTCGAGCCGATCGTCATCAGCTCCGATGCTTGGCCCTTCACATGCGAGAAGGGCGAGCAGTGACAACTATTACAGTCGGTGCGTGGCTCGGTGTGGGAGGCGAAATTGGCACCGAACGTTAGCAGCTACATTGCCTCGACCAGCGCTTGCGAGAAAGGCATGCAGTGGCAGCTATTGTTGTTTTGATTTTGCGAGGCGGGCAGTGGCAGCTACTCATATCGGTACGTGGCTCAATCACGGCGGTCCGTTTGCGCGCTCTCCCTTGCAGTGCCGCAGTTGACCAGCTGGGTGTGGCCTTGGGCACAGGCTGGCAGTTATTTGGCATAGTCATCGTGCATCGGGCCACGGTGGTACCCGGTCTATCTCGTTGTTTCAAACGGGGGGTTTGCATGCCGGCGCACTTGCGTGGCAGTTTCGGCGTATCACCTCGATTTGCGGTTTTGCCCACTTGTTCTGTCCTGCGCGGGGGATTTGTTTTTTTTTCGTTATGTCAATACTTGCTTATTTCGCTCATGTATGGCTGGCGGAAAGGAAAGAACATTCAGCTTGGGGTACGTTGTGTGCTCCGTGCTGCTTTGAGGTGTTCATTCAAAGTGTCAGCACTTGTGTTCCTGGAACTTTCTAGGTCTTGTACTCTGCATGAGTGGGTGGCATACTACTTATACCTGTTGGAGCTGCCGCTCGGAAAACTCAGGAGACCATTTTTTTATTGCTTGGGGCATGACGGGCGTCATGGCCCCCGCCGCCCCCCCCCCCCCCCCCAATGACGTAACGCTCCCCCCCCCAGTGCGCTCCGGGCACTGCCGCCGTGCGTGTTGGGATCCGCGTAGGTGTCCGCGTGGGAATCCGCATAGGAGTCTGGTCCGCAGTCGTCGACGTCGTCGTCGTCGTCGTCGCTCGTGGCTCGTGGCAAGTCGCTCGTCGCTCGTCGCTCGTCGCTCATCGTCGTCGTGCGCGCGGACGCGGCTGGAGCCTGTTTTTTATTCCGGGCCGATGACGGCAATCATCTGGGGGGGGTGGAGGGGGTCGATGACGTCACGCTTCGCGCCGGCGGCGCCTGGGAATGCTTAGGGATGACGGAGGACGGGTGGCATCAGCATGTAGGTGGCGATCTGCACCACAACGCCTGTGTACCTCAGTGCCTTCGTGCACCACAGCGCCTGTGTACACACACCTCCTGTGTACACCACAGCAGCCAGTTGCAACACAGCGTTAGTTTGTGCCACACCGCGCGCGGGCACAACAGCTCTTGTGTACACCACAGCGCCTGCGTACACCACATCAGCCGTGTGCAACACAGCAGTGAACACCACAATGCTTGCGTGCATTGCATTGCCTGTGTACACCACGGCGCTTGTGTGCACCACAGCAACCGTGTGCAACACAGCACCACTGTTGTATGTAGAATGTTAGATGGAATCATTATGACAAAATGGAACGTTTGTGGGTTCCACCGAAAACACCAGAAACGAATCTTCATGGACAAGGGAACGCCAGGGGAAGCGACGAGTCCTTCCGAGTTCGCCCGCATCACCGTAATTTTTCCCATTTGCGTCCAGGAGGCTCCAGTTAAATTGGCCGTCCGAGAACCAAGTGGGCCGATTCAATAGACCATTTGGTGCACGCTGAGTTGCGCACGTGCGCTGTAGCACCAATCCGCGCGACAGAGGGTAAGGAAGAGGAGGAGGAGGAGAAGGAGGAGGAGGAGGAGGAGGAAGAGAAAAAGGAGGAGGAAGAAGAGGAGGACGTGGAGGTGGAGGAGAAAGGAATAGGGAAAAGCGTCGCGTCTGATTATCAGCATTTTCCTGACGTGGCGCTTCCGCAGCAAATCCTCACGTACAGGCTCTTTCTACCTGTCCAATGCACACAGGCACTGTGCTGTACAATAGCGCTGCGTTGCACGCGGATGCTGTGGTGTAGACAGGCGTTGTGGCGTGCACGGGCGCCGCGGTGCACGCAAGCATTGTGGTGCACACAGGCGGTGTGTTGCTCATGGTTGCCTCCTTGTGCACATGTACACCGGCGCTGTATGTAGTGTACGCAAACACTGCACTGTACACAGGCGCTGCGTTGCACACGGATGTTGCGATGTACGCAGGCGCTGTGGTGTACACGCGCGCTGTGGTGCACGCGAGCGCTGTGGTGTACACAGGCGCAGGGGGGCAGATCGCCACCTACATGCTGCTCGCGTCGTCGTCGTCGTCGTCGCTTGTCGCTCGTCGCGTCGTGCGCGCGGGCGCGGCTGTGGTGCCAGAACCACACGGCAGAGGGAGGGTGGGCGTTACGTCATACCCCCCCCCCGCCCCCCCCCCCCACATGACGCGCGTCATCGCCGAACATAAAGAAGCGCCTTCGTGGGTGGCTTATTGTAGCACGCTTCGCGCTGAACTCCACGACTTAGCTCGCAATTCGCAACTCCCTCCCACCTCCCTCCCTCCTTCTCCCCCCTCCTTCCCTCCTCCCTCCATCATCAAGCCGTTGTGATGCCATATCTTATTGGATGCTAGACATCGGTGGAGGGTTTTGGGAAGGCGCTGTTACTCCCAATTTCCAATCAAGAAGTGCGGTCGGGCAAAACAACGGCGCGCAGCAGCGCAAGTGCTCCGCGAATGGATGCAACTAAGTGTGTGATTGTCTGCGCATGCAGGAAAGGCGGGCAATGGCAACACGCATTGTCGGTGCTTGGGCGATGTGGGAGTCGAGTCTTGAGCCAGACGTCACAGCTACAGCGCTGAGACCAGCGCGTGCGAGGAAGACGAGCAGTGGAAGTGGGCGCTGGCGCTGCTGAGCGGAATGTGGGAGGCGAAGTTGGAGCCCGACGCCATCTCTACTGCATTGCAGGAGCCCGTGCGTGCAAGAAGGGCGAGCAGTGGCAGCGGGCGCTGGCGATGCTGAAAGACATGGGGGTCGCGAAGCTGGTGCCGAACGCAGCCACCTCAGCCCTGTCATGGTCGCCGTGCTGTGCAGGGGCGACACGACAGGCGACTTAGTTATCTTCGAAAATCCTGGCGTTCTCCGCACGCCTGGGAAGTGGTGTTGGGACAACCATGCAGAGTGCCGCAAATTATCCGTGTGGCAGCTTCTTTATCTCAGGGTCTACTCGAAGCTATGAGTCAAACTCACTCCTGACTCCCCCCAGGAGCCATCGGCACTGTCCCCCGGGTCCCGAGAGGCCGAGGGGGCCCACAGACCGCACGACAACGATACGACAACACGCGTTTGTGCCTTGCTCGCTGCTATTCCTTCCAGAAGTGCCTCCGGGCCGCCGCGGAGAGCACACACTTGCGGGCGCAGCTGAAGTCCCCTCACGCCTGGCGCCGCTTCTTACCCGCGGCGTGGGCCCAGCAGAGCTCTCGACCTACTCCTCCTCCTCCTCCTCCTCCTCGTCCTCGTCCTCATTCCTCATTCCTCATTCCTCATTCCTCGTCCTCCTCCTGGTCTGCCTCCCCCCTTCCCTCTCTCCCTCCCTTCCTCGGGCGGCGGGGCACGGGGTGGCGGCGGCACGGGGTTTGCCGCTCCAGGCAGGTGGCGACACGGGGTTGCCGCCCGGCCTCGGCAGCAACCTCGCCCCAGGCAGGTGTCGTGGATGAGCGTGGGCCCTCGGAGCGGCCCGTCGCCCCGTGGCCCAACGTTTCCTTGAGTGGTTCAGCGACGGGGTCCTGAGGGATGGGGTCCTCAGGATAGGGAGGAATCCAAGGGTGGATTTACATTGTTTGAGGTACCTCGTCCTGAGGACCCCGTCCTTTAGGACCCTATCTTTGAACCGCCGATCTCCCCCCACAACCGCTGGGGACCGGACCAGCTCAACGCGAGGCGCCCGCACCACAAGGAGCCGCGGTTCCCGCCCACACCGCCCCCTTTCGGCGGCCAGCACGGGGGGAAATTGAGGCTCGGACGTGCCCTCGGCCTTCTGATAAGTCTCTCCTAAGCTCTCCCCGAAGACACAGAAAACTCTCAGAAGGCCGGCGGGCTTCTGAGAAGCCCCGCCGCCTTCTGAGGAGGCCTTTCCTTTCTCACTTGTCCCCTCGCTCGCAGCCGATTCGGGTGTTGCCAGAGGTGCCCATGGCCCCCTGCGCTCCCTGCGGAGCGGATGGATCGCGGCGCGCCGGTCCCGTTGGCCACGCGGCATGCGTCTTCGAATGTGCGGCGGGCGAGGACCACATCGAGCAGTACTCGGGGTGTCGCTGGGTCGCGGCCGCCGCCGCGGGGCAGCTCGGGTTGGCTCGCTCCGCCAAGCATTCCAGGCTCGCGAGGTTCGTGTTGCTGGAGCGCTGCTGCTGCTGCTGCTGCTGCTGCTGCTGCTGCTGCTGCTGCTGAGGAGCTTCAGCGCCGCGCGCGCCTGACGTGCAGCGTCTGACTCGCGCGGTGCTGGAGGCGCCACGCAGTGGCGTGCACCCCGGAGGCGTGCTGGGACACCTTGCGGCAGAAGGTGATTGAGCTCTCGTGAGGCCAGGCGAGGCGAGGCCCTTCCGTCCCGTCCGTTTTTGTTCATTGGCTGTTTTTGCACAGCTCTTCAGACCAGTCGCTCCTGCTTCTCCTCGTCCCGCCCCTCCTTGCTTCCCCATCTCTTCCCGCACGCTTCCGAGGATCTGGCTGTCCAGATCGTCACGGCCTGGGCTCAGTAGCTTTCTCCCCCGGTGCGCGCTCTTGGAGTCGCAATCGTTTACCACACGCTCGGTGTCCAGTGGCGGGCGGCATAGCCTGACGGCCCCACGGTCCAGTCGGTTGTCCAGGCCGGCTGGCCGGGCGGAGGTCGCGGAACGCCTTCCTGTCCCAGAGCGTTTAGCATGAGCGCCCAGTTGCCCTCCCGCCCTTTTTTGCCTTCCCTCCCCCGCCTCCCCTTTCTGTTTTCGGGGATGCGGCGCTGGACAGTTCAGTCTGCGAGCGGCCATCTGGCCACCTAGTTGTGTGAGTTCTGGTGTGATTTATTGTCCCCTTGCAGGGTGACGTCTGCCCGGCCGGTGTGCCACGGGGGAAGAAACGCGACGCATTTCCCCCCCCCCCGCATTTCCCCCCCCCCCCCCCTTCGGGTTCCTGGGCTATCCCGCGGCGCGGAGTGCCACCCAGACACAACGAGGACGAGGCGTTGTGATATAATTCTTGGGATGTGTAATTCGGTACCGGCGCTGTTGCAACCGTGGTCAAATACAAGCCTACTCGGGCATAGTCCCACGCCTAATTTGGATCAATCCGGCTTACTCCCAGGAGAAATCCAGCGAAATCTTGCTCAATGGCCGTTTATTGGGGTTTCTTCGCCCTCATTCGTTCTTGCGAAGACCTTCCAGTGGTTGCCTCCTCAGGCATTCCGTTTCCCTCCGTTCCCTCATCCTTCGGTTAGGGCCCTGTCACGACGAGGACGAGGAGGCGGGATGCAATTCTTGGGAGTATTGGCGCTGGTCTATCCGTGGTCGAATACAGCCCTAGACAGGCATCATTTCCACTTACCTTAGGAAATTGTTTAGACCCCCCTCCTGGCAAAATGATAACGCTTCCCGCACCAAGAAGCGTTGTTCCCGTACCGGAAGGATGATGCAACTCTCGCCTTAGCGCCGCGCGCATTCATTTCAAAAAGTTTCAAGAGTTTCGCGGATTGAGGGCGGTTTGTGGCTCTCGCCTTAGCGCCGCGCACATTCGTTTCAAACCCTTGCAAGAGGTTCGCGGATTGAGGGCGGCTCGTTTTCAAAACAATGGTTCTCGCCTTAGCGCCGCGCACATTCGTTTCAAACATTTGCGAGAGCTAGATTCTGAAAACAAGCCTGGGGAGATTTATAGTTTTGCCGTTTGGCACGGTGCTAAAGCTATCGTTTGGCTAAAATCCCCCCTTCTAATGTAGTTAAGTCTGCCTATTCTTGCTCAGTCTGGCTTACTTCGACGCGGTATTGGGCTTAATTCAGCTTGCTCTGGCTCAGGGGCCCCGTAATCGGGCTTGATCGATTTGCCGTCGTTTTCGCGAAGACCTGCCAGGAGTTGCCTCCTACGGTATTCCGTTCCGTTCCGTTCCCACTCGTTGAGGGCCTCTTCAGCACGAGGACGCGGAGTCTGGGTGCCATTTCTGGGAGGTCAAATTTGGCATTGGCGTTGGTGCATCTGTGGTCGGATACAAGCCTAGTCGGGCAAAATTGCACGCTCCAAAGGAAATGCGTAATGTACATGCTCATCTGGCTGAATTCTGTGCTCAGTCTGGCCCACTCAAGCTCAGTGGCAGTTTCATCGGGCTCCATAGCCCCGAATCGTATTTACGAAGCCCTCCCAGGAGCTGCCTCCTCTTGCATTCCGTGCCGTTCCGCTCTGCTCGGGAGGAGGGGGAGTAGGAGGAGGGGGAGTGGGAGGAGGGGGGCCGGGAGGGAGGGGGGCAGGAGGAGGGGCAGGTGGATGCAGCAAGTGAACGCCGCGGGCGCGCACCGCGTCGCACTCGCGCGCGCCGCCCAGGCCAGAGCCGGGGGCGGCCCGTGAGTGGTCGCGCCCCGCCCTGCCCCCGCCGCGACTCGGCACGATCGAAATAGGCACGGAAACGCTGGGCAAGTCCGGCAGGCCTCGAATCGAGATAAATCGGTCCAGAGCGTTCCGGAACGCTCTCAGAGCGGTTTGGAACGCTCCGAAACGGCCGCGGCGCCAGATACATTCTTAAGCCCGCCGATTCTCAGGGATTAGACCGACGTCAGTCGTTGTTCATGTTGAGCAGGAGCCGCCAGCGTCTCCGCGGACGTTGTCCATTGAGACAGGAGATCGCCTGCCCGAGAGCGGCCGCTGTCGGTTTTGGACAACTTTTGCGGTAGGGCATCCCCTTCCCTTGTTTTCTTTTGTCCTGTACGGGCGTGCCACGCCATGACCCCGCCGCGTGGTGGGGCTCGGAAGGTCGGTGAGCACAAGTCGCAGGAATGCGATTCGTTTCGCGCAAGGTTGTCGACGTTCTCGTCGGTTCCCACAGGTTTTCCTGCCTCGGGATACGTTTCAGCAGCGGCGCCTCGCCGAGAGGCGTCCGGGGGCGCCTGGATCGTCCCGAGCGACCGCCCGAGACCTGAGTTGAGTCATCCAGCTGCGTATGGCAACGCCGCCACCATGCCAGCGCAGCATTCTGGGTGGCAACTGCTCCCAGGGAGACGCCATGGCCGTCCAGGGACCCCCAGGAGTACTGGTGGTGCACGCGACTGGGAGCGACGTGAGGGGTTGGTGTGTCCCTTAGACGACTACAGGAATCCTGCCAGAACAGCACTTGGCATTCTTCCACGTCTTGACTCAGACGTGCCAGGAGGCACGGTGGCGGATGACCCGGACGCCAGACGACGAGGATCTTTGTGGGGGGTCAGTCTTTTCGTTTCTCCGAAGCATCGCATTTGCGCTGCTCTTGCCTTCCTGTGCTCTGCGTCGGCTCTGATGGGCCTCTCTCGTCCTCGGTCTGAGCTCGAAGGCCGAAGGAAAACGGCATCAGTGTTATAGTACCTACCAAACCACCCCAACCCAAACCGAAGGCCCCAAGTTGCCCTCTATTCCCAGCGGGGGGGCAACCCAGAACATTGAACAATCGCAACAGGAAGCCGTACGCCCCCCAACCTGAACTTTCAGATTGCGGGTTGGGTCGGGGTGATTTTGGTAGGTAGACAGCATTAGCATTCGCAGGCCGCGCGGGTCTCTCGGATCTGCGCCCTACTTGGCGCGAGGGGTGCTCAACACCAAATTAAGAATCCCACGGACATCCGAGAGCTTGCGTGCTGTGCAGTCTGTTGTTCCTCTATCGAGCGGCCGGGCTGCAGGACCGGGGTCACGATAGGGGGGGAGGCAGCAGGCGTACTTACGCAGGACGAAAGATTGTCCTCTTGAGGTGAAAATGGCGACGAGGAGATCGCGAGATAACATCGGCGCCGCCGAACGGACGGCGTCTGGACGAGCTGCGTGTAGCAACGGGGAGGAAAGAGACGTATTCATGTTGAGTGGGGCGCTCGTTCGCGGAAAGTCGATGGGCGTGCGCGAGACAGCGCAGGGCCCGTTTTGGGACGTTGATGACCGAACCCCCCCTCTCCCGCAGAATCTTAACACGGGCGGGTTCAGGTGTCCGCGGGTCAGAATTTGTCGGGTTCCCCGTTTTAGTTGCATCATTCAAATCTTGAGCGGAGTATCGCTTGGATCCGCCGTAACAAATCGGACCGGACGCGGATCCAGAAAATCCGACATCGGATCCGCGCGGACGGATGTTGGATACACCGAAACAGAAACCAAAACCACAATTGGACCTGCGAGAACTTCAGTGGATCCCACAGTGGTGATTTCATGCGCGCCTGCTCGAATTTGCAAGCCGTCGCTCCGGGCACAAGAGGAAACAGCTTTCGTCCTGGATTGGACGGTTTGGCTTTCGGATTTGTCGGTTGCCACGTAGCCGACGCACCACATCTCAACAGAACTCCCCGCCACTTGCACTCTGGAATTCCCGTTCGAGACGTCTTCGCAAACAAATTAAGAACACAAAGGGAGAATAGCCAGACAACGAATAATATGTAGAGAAAAAGGGTCGTGCCTCTGATTGGAAGTCCTGTTCGAAACGTCTTCGCAAACACCCGCGCATTGCATTCGGAATCGTGGTGGGCTACGCCAGAGCTCGACAACCAGGGAAAGATCCCCTCCTTTTTCGAGCGTTGCAATGAGCTCCAGATCGTGCTGGGGCATGCCAGCGCCCACAACGTTGCAGGAACTCTTTTTGCCTGCGTTCGCTTATACGTGGGAGGCGGAAGGGAAGACGAGGAGGACGCAGCCCGTTGAGTCAGGAAGCGCAGGGTCTGAACGCACTTTGGCAGGACGAAAGATTGTCCTCTTGAGGTGAAAATGGCGACGAGGAGTTCCTGAGATAACATCGGCGCTGCCGACGCTGCCGAACGGACGGCGTCTGGACGAGCTGCGTGCAGCAACCGCGAGGAGAGAGACGTATTCATGTTGAGTGGGGCTATCATTCAAGGAATGTTGATGGGAGTGCGCGAGATAGGGCAGGGCCCATTTGGGGAAGTTGATGACCGACCCCTGCCCCCCCGCAGAATCTTAACACGGGCGGATTCTGGTGTCCGCGTATCCGATTTAGTCGAGCTTCTCGTTTAAATTGAACAATCAGAGTAAGCGGGCCGAGCGGTCATTCATTGTCCCTGGGTGCGTGGCTGATGTGGGGATCCGTGGGGAGGATTCTGCTTGTTGCGTTTTCGTTGTTGTTGTTGTTGTTGTTGTTGTTGTTGTTGTTGTTGTTGAGCCTTCACTTATGAAGAATACTTCGTGTTGATCCCCCATCACCGGCGCATGCTTTTTTCTCAATCAAAGTGTGCCTCTCGACGCTCGCACCCGTTTTTTTCCACATGCTCAAACTGCGTCCCTGGCCCCCGGGTTCAACAACAACGGCTCCCGATTGAGACTTCCTCACAATTTAACCAGGACCCCCGCTCCCGCCCGACACGACCTCGCATTTGATTCAGGAATCGCGCTCTCGCTTAGGACTGCTTTAGAATTTGTTTAGAAATCGGTTTCCCGGCGCTCTGGGGTCGCGCTCTCTCTGGAGTCACGCTTGCAATTCACTGAGGAATAGCGCCCTTGCGTGGGAATTTCTTGCGATTTACTGAAGCGCCGCGCTCCCGACACCCAGGCACCCAGGAGTCGCGCTCACGCTCACGACTTCTCGCAGATTACCTAGGAATCGGCATCTCGCTGCCCTTCGTGGCCCCGTTGCGGCCCTTCGTGGCCCCCTCGCTTTGTTTCGTGGCCCCGTTGCAGCCCTTCGTGCCCCCCTCGTTTCGTTTCGTGGCGCCGTTGCAGCCCTTCGTGGCCTCGTCGCTGCCTTTCGCTGCCCCGTTGCAGCCCTTCGTGGCCACCTCGTTCCCCTTCGTGGCCCCGTTGCAGCCCTTCGTGGCCCCCTCGCTGCCTTTCGTGGCCCCGTTGCGGCCCTTCGTGGCCCCGTTGCAGCCCTTCGTGGCCCCCTCGTTCCCTTTCGTGGCCCCGTTGCAGCCCTTCGTGGTCCCCTCGCTGCCCTCCGTGGCCCCATATATGTATGCCCTTCGTGGCCCCCGCTCGTTCGCGCCCGTGGTGGCCCCATGTGCCCATGTGCGTGCCCTTCGTGGCCCCGCTGTCGCCCTTCGTGGCCCCCTCGCTGCCCTTCGTGACCCCGTTGCTGCCCTCAGTGGCCCCGTCCGTGCCCTCCGCGGTCCAACATACGTATGCCCTTCGTGGCCCCCGCTCGTTCGCGCCCGTTGTGGCCCCATGTGCGTGCACTTCGTGGCCCCGCTGTCGCCGTTTGTGGCCCCTTCACTGTCCTACGTGGCCCAGTTGCTACCCCCAGTGGCCCCATCGTCGCCGTTTGTGGCCCCGCATTATCTGCCCTTCGTGGCCCCCGCTCGTTCGCGCTCTTCGTGGCCCCATTCGCATTCCCTTCGTGTCCCCGCTGTCGCCCTTCGTGGCCTACTTCGTGTCCTGCGTGGCCCTGCTGTCGTTCTCTCTCGCTCTCGCTTTCGCTCGTCGTCGTCGTCGGCGTCGTCGTCGACGTCGTCGTCGTCGACGTCTTCGTGGTCGGTCCCCTGTCCGTCCCTCTTTGGGTCGGGTCGACGGTCCGCGGCCGCCCCGCCGATCAGCGCTGCCTCTGGCCAGGCCGACGGTCCGCGGCCGCCCCGCCGGTTGCCGGGGCCCGGCCTGCATGGAAGAAAGGTATACCCCCCAAAAGGAGTTCGATCGAAGACGAAGAGGGCGAGTATCGAGGGATTGGGAAATACGCGTTATTGAACTCTCGAGCAGACAACGGCGAACAGTCTTGAAATTATTGTTGTTGTTGTTTTTGTTGTTGTGGTGGTTGTTGTGGTGGTTGTGGTTGTGGGTGTGGTTTCTGGTTATTATTGTTGTTGTTGTTGGTGGTGGTGGTGGTGTTGTTCTTGTTGCTGTTTTTGTCGTCCCACCCGCGACCCACCCCGCGACCCACCCGCGACCCACCCACCGACCCATCCGCGACCCACCCCGCGACCCACCCGCGACCCACCCGCGACCCACCCCGCGTCCCACCCGCGACCCACCCCGCGTCCAACCCGCGACCCACCCCGCGACCCACCCGCGACCCACCCCGCGATCCCACCCGCGACCCCACCCGCGACCCATCCGCGACCCACCCGCGACCGACCCGTGACTCACTTGCGACCCACCTGCGACCCTCCCCGCGACCCACCTGCGACCCACCCGCGACCCACCCCGCGTCTCAACAGCGACCCACCCGTGACCCATTTGCGACCCACTTGCGACCGTCCCCACATTGGTTTAACTAAAAGATCGGCGCCTGCGGAGGGCTCGTTGTAGAAGTTGTGAAACTTTTGTGCTTGCGGCGGGCTTCACCAGAGTCCCGCAAACTGCCGACGTCCCCACCCCCCCTCACTCTTATCCGCATTTGAGGGGTGCTACGTATAAATTTAGAACGGGATACAATCGGATCAGCCGTAAAACATGGGACCGGACGCGGATCCAGAAAATCCAAAATCGGATCCGCGCTGACTGATTTTGGATCCTCCGGAACAGAAACCAAAACCACAATTAGATCCGCGCGAATTTTATTGGATCCCCCGGTGGTTATTTCATGCGCGTATGTTCGAGAGTTCAAACCGTCGTTCCGCGCATAAGAGGGATTTTTTTTCGTCCTGGGGATGCGCGTTTTGGCCTTCGGACTTGCTGGTTACCAAGTAGCCGACACCACATCTCACCGGAATCCCCCCGCCACGTGCACTCAGGAATTCCCGTTCGAGACGTCTTCGCAAACCAATTAAGAAGAAGAAGAAGAAGGGTCGTGCCTTTGGTTGGAAGTCCCCTTCGAGACGTCTTCGCAACCCGCGCCTTGCATTCGGAATCGTGGTGGGCCACGCCAGAGCCCGACAACCAGGGGAAGATCCCTCGTCATTTAGCGTTGCAGTGAGCTCCAGATCGTGCTAGGGCATGCCAGCGCCCACAACGTAACGGGAGCACTTTTTGCCCGCGTTCGCTTATACGTGGGAGGCGGGAAGGAGGACGGGGAGGACGCAGCCCGTTGAGTCAGGAACCGCAGGGCCGAAACGCACTTAGGCAGGACGAAAGATTGTCCTTTTGAGATCGGCGCCGCCGAACAGACGGCGTCTGGACGAGCTGCGTGCAGCAACCAGGAGGAGAGAGACGTATTCATGTTGAGTGGGGCTCGCGCGAGACAGCGCAGGGCCCATTTTGGGAAGTTGATGAGCGACCCCCCCCCCTCTCCCGTAGAATCTTAACACGGGCGGGTTCGGATGTCCGCGGGTCCGATTTCTTCGGGTTCCCCGTTTTAATTGCATTATTTAAATCTTGAACGGGGTGCGACTTGGGTCCGCCGTCAAAAAATCGGACCGGACGCGGATCTAGAAAATACGAAATCGGATCCGTGCGGACGGAACTTGGATCCACCGAAACAGAAACCAAAACCACAATTGGATCCGCGCTAATTTCGTTGGATCCCACGGTGGTTATCCGTAAAGTCTTCGCCCCCTGCCGCCGGCCCCCTTCTCTTAGAATGGGACTTGCGAGAGCTGTGTTGGGATGTCTGGGCGCTGACGTGAAGTGATGCTTGGACTTCACGCGAGGGCCAATATTAATTTACGTGGGTGTATGGCTCCGGTGGCGCGAATATCATGTACTTTACGAGGGGTTATGGCTTCGGGGATGGGAACATTGATAGATTTACGAGGGTTTGTGGCTTCGGGGACGCAACTATTGTAAATTACAAGGTGTATGGCCTCGGGAGCGCAAGTATGGTGTAATATAAAAGGTTTATGGCATCGGAGACGCGCATATGTTGTAATTTGCTAGGGTTTGTGACCTCGGGGATGCAAGCCCGGTGTAATTTACGAGGGTTTATGGCCCTGGGGACGCGAGTGTTGTATCATGTTCGAGGGTTTATGCTTTCGGGGGCGCGAATTTTGTGTAGGTTACGAGGGCTTATGGCTTCGGGGACGCGAATAGCGCATAATGAGCGCATAATGTGCGGAAGGTTTGTGGCCTCGGGGACGCAGATTATGGCTTCGGGGACGCGGATAGTGCGTAATCGTATATGTTTGCGTGTCCACGCCCCCCCAGGAATTCAGGCAACGCGATCTGGGCGTGGTAAAAAGGCTGGTTTGGGGCTCCCCCCTCGCGCGTTCAGCAACACTTTAGAGTAGGAAGCAGAACGCAGGACTGTAACATTGGAGACTTGAGACAGGAACTGGTGCAGGGAGCATGAAAGCCGAATCTTCGCAGCCTGATGGCCCCGCAAGGGGGCCGGCGGATTTCACGCACCTCTGCTTAAGATTTCAAACCGTCGTTCAGGGCCCAAATGGAAACAGCTTCCGTCCTGGGGATTAGGAGAGGAGGATGAATCGACCCCCAATCGCACATTGCTCGCCGATGTGGGCGCGATATCTCTAACCTACCCAGGAACGCGCGGATTCGCCATCGGGGGCCTATCTATTGCCGAGGTATCGGTGAGGCATCGCCGACTCCAGGTCGACGTTTCCCTCTTTATCCCCATTTCCCTCCTACCGTTGCCCCTCGGCGGAGGGTCACAGGGGCTCAGGAGCAGGCGGAAAAAGAGCGGGAACCCCAGCGCGCTTGGCAGTTGAACAGACGTCCTGGGCATTATTCTCGGTCGAGCACGCGGGAGGAGACGTCGAGGGGTTGACCCGCCAGTGCGCCGCTGCAGGGGGTGGCGCGCGGGGGGCGGCCTCCTCAGAAGTCGGGGGGCCTCTAAGAAGGCGTGGGCCTTCCTGGAGGGGCCTCCCGAGGCTTCCAGTCGTAGAAGCTGGGAGGGCTGCGAGGACCCCCCCATCAAAGCCCTCTCAGACCCCCCTCCGCCTTTTCAGAAGGCCGCCCCCCTCGCGCCCCCCCCTCCGAGTGCGCGCCGCCAGGTGAAGGAAGAGGAGGGTAAGGCTCCCCTCCTGTGTTCCGCCCCCCCCCCCGCCCCCCCCACCCCTCCTTCCGAGGCCAGCGGGGGCAGCACGGGCCCTCCTTTCGCCCTCCCCCTCCCTTTCTCCCTCGCGCCTTCCTTGCCCTCCTCTCCCCTTCTCCCTCTGTCTCGGCACCCCTCGAAGACGAAGCATCTGCATCTGTCCTGCATCGGATTGATTTGCATCTGTCCTGGGCCCCCCGTGGCGGCCCCTCCGGCGCCGCCCGCGGCGCGCCCCGTGCGCCAGGGACGGGGGGCCAAGCGTTTGTCCCAGCAATCCGCAGGGGGGGTCCGAGCGTTTCTGTTCTTGTTATGTTTGTTCCTCCTTTCCTCTTCCTTTCCTTTTCCTCCTCCTCCTGCTCTTCCTCCTCCCGTTCTTCCTCCTCATCATCCTCATCCTTTCCTCCTCCTTCTTTCCATTTCCTCCTCCTCCTTGTCTCCTCCTCCTCCTCCTCCTCCTCGTCCTCCTCCTTTTCTCTTCCTCCTTCCGAACGTTTACTCCGTTTTTTCCCTTTCCTCCCCCCGCTCAAAATCCCCGTGCTTGTTCTAGAGCGCGCCGCGACCAACCTTTCAGGCGGTGTCGGGGGAGGCCACCCCCAATGGCAAGAAAAGCCCAGACAGGCTCTCCACATTCCTTGGCCCCCCCTCGTTCCCGCCCCGGTCTGGCGTAACGCTGGAGACGGCGCGGAGTTGGTTAATCCTTCTTCTCGTTAACATCATTATTTTCGTTCTAGAGACTTACGCCGAACCCCAGACGTCGTGAGGAGCCCGCGGAAGCTGCTAGGGCGAGGTATGTGATAGAGTGTCGCACATGACGAGACTCACACGCCTGTGGATTCCAAGGAAGAAACAGTCAGCGGATTCAGGACCCACGTGCGCCAGCGTTTCTTCAGTGCCTCTGTTGCCGTCACAATGCACAGTGAAGGGGGCCGTATTTCTCGGTGGAAATAGATCACGGGGGCAGCCGATCCGAGATTCTATGTTGCCGCTACGTGTCATCAGATCGTGCCAACCTTCGGCCAACAAAGGGGACTGGTATTCGTTGTACTCGCGTTGTGGCCAAAACTGTTGGGTGGGAGGGGGTCGATACAGGCGCCTCACTCTTCAATGTTTTCTGAGTGGTCGTAGTATTGTTTGTTTAATTCGAGTGTCGCCTTCCTCTTCCTCCTCCCCTTCCCCCTCGTCTTTTTCTTACTCTTCTTATCGAAGACGCCTTTGGCGAGCCACAGCCGCCCCCTGCCTGTGGAAGCGCCTGGCCTGGCGGAGCTGTTGCGCGTTAGCGCGGCGATGCTAGTGGTGGGGATGTAGTTTTGTTGGGGGCCGGCCCGTTTGGCGTCTTTGGAGAGCGTTTGGTCTTGGGGCCCTCTTAGGCCACGTTTGGTCCTGGGGGGTCTCTCCTGGGCCGCCTTGGGGCCGACTTCCGAATGAAGAACATGGGCATAAACACAATCTTTCGAAGCCCCGCGCGGATTTCTTGAATCTGCGCTGGGCCCCCCTGGCGGCGCCACTGGCGCCGGCTCTGCGCGCCAGGGGGTGGTGCAGCGCACATATACAAAATCCGCGCGGGCCTCCGACATTTTACGCGTTGGTCATTTTTTTTTTCTTATAGACTTGGGCACTTGGGACCGTCTTGCGGGCCTCTCGTACTATCTTGGGGCCCTCGCTGGCCGTCTTGGAACTCTCTTGGGAACCTCTTTGGCCGACTGGAGGCCATATTGGATGCCTTCTTTGCCAGCTTGATGGGCTGTCGTGACCCTGAAATGGCAAGAACGCGACAACCCTTCAAGAATTTAGAAATCAACGATCGGGTCTTTTTCGGGCTCTCTGGAGGTCCTCTAGAAGATCTCTTCGGGCGTCTTGGAGGCCCCTTGGACAGTCTTGAGACCGCCGGGAACATTTAGGCCAAAACACCAATTCAAACATCTGGCACGCCAAGCACCTCTGCGGCAAGCACAGGGGGCGGCGCGTCGAAGACGCCTGCGGCGAGTCACCGCTGCCAGCTGTCTTTCTGGTGCCGTTTCTTTCACGGTGCCAGCATGTTTGGGTCGTCTTCTGCTTCCTCCGCCGTCTCCGCTGGCGTGAGCCTTGACATCGCTCGGGCGCCTGCATCTTTTCACGGCGAGGACCATCGAGGAGCATCTTGGACCGCTTTGCAAAAAAATACACGCGCGAATTTGAAAAACGTACGGGGAATGGACGTCCGAGCGACGGCAAGGAGCGCCCCCCCCCCCCCCCCTTTCCCCTGTCGCGCCGCCAGGTACCTGGACGCGGTGTGCTCGACGATCCTGCGCATGCCGCTCCGCTGGAGACGCGATCGCCAGGGGAGGAGGAGAAGTCGGAGGGGGGCGGGGGAAGAGGAAACTGAGGATTATGACGGGAGAGCGAGGGAAAGAGAGAGAGAGAGAGTCGGATTCGGGCGAATGGGTCCTTTGCAAAGGGGGGTCCCAAACATGTACGCAATTGTTCGTGCAATCCTTCGTGCAGATAGGCACGTCGTACAATGTCAGCACGTGGCTGCCACGCGCCATGCGCCACATGATGAATTATTGCATGTTTTGCTTGCGACCTCAGCACGTCATAATCTTTCTCTGTGGAAGCAAGAGAAAGAGAGAGAGAGAGACACATTTCCGTGTCTCTATATATACAAAAAACACAATGCACCTTGAACTCGTTCAAGTTCTGCATGCAGGCTGAATGAGAGAGATGCAAGCAAGTACGAGTAAAGGTAATTACTTATTGCCGATTCCGTAGTCCTCGTTATGCAACGGACCTTCCTTGCCCGTACATAATATTTTCCTCTATTCCTCTTTCTCGACCTAATCTTCGAACCCGCCCCCATCCTCCTCAGCTTTTTCCCGCAAAGGACGCTGTCCCAGGGTTCAATAGGCCCTTCGACTGGGAGGAGGGATGAGGACGCATTTGAGGGGGAACTCAGAACAGAAGGTCAAGGACATAAAGAAAGATGAGGGATGAGGATGAGGAAGCACAGAAGCCGGAGAAGAGATGCGGAGGAGAGGAGGAGGAGGAGGAGGAGGAGGAGGAGGAGGAGGAGGAGGAGGAGGAGGAGGGTAGGAGGATGGATGGGGAGGAGGAGGAGGAGGATAAGAACAGGAGGAGGAGGCAGGATGTCATACATTGTCTTGGCTAGCGCACGTTTGTTCCTAAACCGGCTCTGGTGGGAGATCTTTAGGCATCGTTCCAGTGGAAATGAATACAACGACAGCAAAACACGTATTGTGCGCATTCCCAGACACATACGAATTTTGGGAGTATAGGTTCTGCGATTTGCGATGCGTGGAGTGGTGGACAGAATTGGATCGTCGTTCATCGCAGACGCAGTTGATGCGACAGTGTGGTTTGTACGCAGCAGACGTATGCGCTACATACGGGGCCCCTCGTTGAAGTCCATCTGTTGCAGACCCACGCATTATCCCACAGCGCGGAATACACGTCGCACCATGCATACCTTTCACCACGTCCCTGAGGACCACGCCGTCGGCCTACAGGAATGCTGATAGTATTCCTCGTCCTCGTCCTCGTCTTCCGGGTAGTCAGCCGCGTACGGCTTCCGGGCCTGGTGTAGTAGTACATGCAGAAACCTATTTAATCAAACCTTGGGGATGAAGGAGGGCGAGAGGAAGGACGAGGGAGGTGAGTGAGGGACCGACCGAGGACCGATTCCCGGGGAGCCGTCTCACGTCGCTATCTACCCCGGACACCCCAGGCCGCTTTCAGCGGGCCCGCACCGATTCAAAATCACACACAAACTCACACAGAACTCAAACGGGGGCCCAGACACACAATCAGACGCAACACGAAAACACAAGCGTAACATCAGCCGGCAAGGGGCGCCGAGAAGGTGGCCGCACCGTCGGTGGCATACCGACCCCTTTGGCGCCACCCCAGGGAGGGGGAGCTAGATGAGCAACGCGGCCGACCCCTTCTCCTGCGCGACGTGTAGTGATTGGACTCCCCAGAACGATGAGCATTAATACGTTGCCCTCAGCAGAGGGCCGCCCCTGGTGCCACCAGTGTCACCGGTACCACCAGCCTCTCGCTGCCGGTTTAGGCGCCGGCCCCCCCCGCAGGGGGAGCTCCCGCACCGCCCGGCGCGGCCGCACCGTCCGCTGCGCCTGCCCCCTCTGGAGGGTTGGCGCCGGCTTCGTCTCCAGGCGCTGCTGCAACGGCAGCCGCCGGGCGGCGCATGTTGGCGCCACCTTTCTTGCCCTTACCCTTGCCCTTAAATTGCCTTTGCCCTTTCCCTTGCCACGGCCCTTGCCGTCCGTCGCCCTTGTTCTTGCCCTTGGCGCGCTCGGCCCGTGTACGCTCATTGCACATGAGCACTCTGTCTGGCGGCGCCTGCCCGTCCGGCAACGCCGGGGGAACGACGCTGGCGACGGCCAGGCCGGCGGCCCGCCGAAGCGGGTGGTCCAACACACGAAGTGCCGACTGGTTCGGGACCGGCTCGTACGCGCCAGATGTGTCCGACCAACGCTCGAGATCACGCCTGGCACCATCAAGGCTTCCTCCACCTGCTGCACCGCTACCGACACGGGCGCGTTCAGGGCAGGGTTAGGGACAGTGGGCGGCACGGCCGCGGCCGCCGCGCCGTCGGGTCCGCGACGCCCAGCTGACGGCGCAAGTCGCGACCCACTGCTGCGCCCCAGGCCCTAGGCGGTTCTGAGCTCCCTCCACGCGGCTCTGGGCGCCTCGTCTGCCCACTCAGCCCCACAGTCCCTGAACCCTTCGCACACCACGCTCGTCGCCTTGAGGGCCGCGTCGACACGGCGCACCACGGCCGCCTGGGTCGTCTCCAGCACGTCAACTCTGCTCGTGAGTGCCTCGAGAGCCTGGTCGACCTGGGCGCGGCGGGCCGCCGCCATCCCTACCGGGCTTGCGAGGGCGGGCGGTAACCGGGTGTCCGCGGCGCTGCCGCTGGCGGGGGGCAAGGCGCGGCGCGGCCGTGAGCTGATTCAAGCCCCAAGCGGCGCGCGACATAGATATAGTCCCCGTCCGTTGCATGCCGCACGCATCTCGTCCACAGACATTCAAAATGACGCGCAGCCATAGCACGCGCGACACGGCACCCGGGTGGGGGCAGGAACGGCGAAGGGACGGAACGGGGGAGTGGGACGAGAAAAGGGGGAGGTGGGGAGGGGAGGGAAGAGGAGGGAGGGGAGGGCGAGGAGGGAGGGGAGGGGAGGGGGGGGAGAGAGAGGAAAGAGAAGGAGGCAGTGGCCCAGGAAGGGGGGTGGCCGTGGACAAGGGAATCCGACCGCCCGTGCCGACCGCCCGTCCGTTGCCGGCCCAGGGGGAGGAGGAGAAACCGGCAGAGGACGGAAATCGTGCTTCGTGTTCGGCTCAACCGGGTACGGCCGCGCACCGACCACCTCTTCCCTAGTGCACCGCTGGCTTCCCCCGCCGCGTGGGGGCTGGGAGGGGCAGGCACCCTTATATATATAGAGAGAGAGAGAGATACACAAGACTGCATTGGCGCTGCGCGCCATGCACCTTGGTCCTTTGAGTTCTGCACGCACGCGGAATGCGTGCGTGCGTGCATGCGCGCATGCATGTATACACGCGCACGTGCATGCCCGTTCCGTATACATGTCTAGGTGTAAATATACTTACATTGTTGGTGGATGTTCTTTTATCACCTGGGGAGGTAACTCGTGTTACCTCCCCCCCGCCCCCCCCCCCACCCACCCCAGGTAACGGTAGCGCCGGGGAACCGGCCACAGGCGTGAACCTTTGCAGTTTCCATCGGAGGAGGGGCAGGGGGAGGAGGAGGAGGGGGAGGAGGAGGAGGAGGAGGAGGAGGAGGAGGAGGAGGAGGAGGGAGGTCGTGGAGGGGGAGCGGGGGAGGAGGAGGGGGTCGGCGGAGGAGGGGGGGAGGAGGACAACGACGACGACCGACGTGGCCCAAAAACCTCCGGAGGTGCGCAGGCATTGTGGTGCACGCAGGCACGGGGTCGTTGTTGGGCACGTGGTTGCTGCTGGCGCCGCTGCAGCAGCTGGCGGTGTACATTCGGTGTACACAGGCATCGACGTGCACGCGAACGTTCGGAGGTCTGCGTGGATTTGTCGGATCGGCGCTGGACCCGGCCCTCCGGCGCGCGGAGCGCGCTAGGGGCGGCGCCAGAGGCGCCGCAAGGGGGGTCCAGCGCCGGTCCTAGAAACCCGCGCGGACATCCGAAAGTTTATGTTCATGAAGTTTGTTCTTCCTCGACTCCTTCCCTCCCCTCTCCCTCTCCCCCGTCGTCGTCGTCTTCGTCGTCGGTTGCCCGTCACTGGGGGTGGGGCCAATGCCCGTCGTCGTCGTCGTCGTCGGCGTCGCAGTTCTACGTCTGTGGAGGTCCCCAGAGGCCTCTGGAGGTCCCCAGAGGCGCCTCTGGGGACCTCCGGGGACCACCGGAGGCGCCTCTGGAGTTCCCCAGAGGCCTCCGCAGGCCCAGACGGACCAAACAACGCCAAAACAAAACGCACCGGAAAGCAAAATCCCGTCGTCGTCGTCGCCGACGACGACGGCGCCCCTCCCTCTCCCCCGTGCGCGCAGGCACTGTGGTGTGCACAAGCGCTGCGGTGCACGCGGTTGCCGCGGTGCACGCGGGCATTGCGGTGTACGCAGTGTGGTGTGCGCACGCAATGTGGTGCACGCGGCTGATGGCATGCACTGGCGCTGTGGTGTACACAGGCGCTGTGGCGCAACAGAAGGATAACAGAGGAGGAGAAGGAGGATGGGGAGGAGGAGAAGGAGGAGGAGGAGGAGGAGGACGAGGAGGAGGAGGATGGGGGCCAGAGGGAAAGGGAAGGAGGGAGTAAAGGGAGGGGCGGCGAGAAGGGAGGGGCGGCGGAGGGTGGGAGGGAGTATGTATTGTCGGCACAGGCGCTGTCGTGCACGCGTTGTGGTGCACAGACGCTGTTGTGCACGCGGCTGCTGTGGTGTACGCAGGCAACGCGGTGTGCGCAGGCGCTGTGGTGTACGTGGTTTTTGTGGCGTGCGCAGGCGTTTTGGTATGCGGCGCACGCGGCTGCTGTGGTGTACGCGGGCGCCGTGGTGTACACCGGCGCTGCACAGGCGCTTGGCGCGCCGGTGCAGCAGTCGTGCCTTGGGGGGTGGGGTGCACGCCGCGGCCGCCGTTTCCGTTACCTCCCCCCCTGCCCCCCTTCCCCCCCCCAGGTAACATGCGTTACCTCCCCTGGATAAAAGAACAGTCTCTTGTATGTGTATACAGCGTACATATGTACATATAAGTTTATGTGTCTAATGGTATGAACATGTATATGCAACTC